AAAAATTTCCATCATTACACTATATATATATAGAATAGATATATATTCTGATGAAATCCATTTATATTCTATATATATGAAATATATATATACACATAGTAGAAAAAGTATGCCTTCATAAAGAGTCTAGAAAATGATCATTTAAAAATATTTTTAGATGAAAACAGTAAATTTTTATAATGCAAAATAAAAGATGTGAAATTAGTATTAGTGAGCGATATATAACTGTTAAATTTTGAAAAGATTACGGCAGCCAACGAAACATTGCTAAAGATATTGGTCGTCAATATTCATCTGTGCAAAAAGTTATAAATAACTTTAAGGAGACGGGTAATTATGTTTTAATTAAGTTTTTTTAATACGAAAACCAAAAGTTCATGAAAAGGAAGTGAAGAATCAAATGAAGAAATTGTTAGAAAACATCCTCTCCAAAGAGTATTAAGGAAATACAGTCGTTCATGGGAGCGATCAACTATTATGGAAGGAGGGTTTGACAATTGTTTGGCCCGTAAAAGTATTCAAACCATATTTGTATGGATAAACATTTTTGATCAGAACGGATCATAAGCCATTGAAATGGATGTTTTATGTAAAGAATCCTGGATCGAAATTAGTACGATGGAAACATAAGTTAGAAGAGTATATGTATGACATAGAATATAAAAAAGGAGTTAAAAACGTAGCAGCTGATCGTACCTGTAGAAATGCGTTAGTAGTAACAAGAAAAGGAAAAAAAAAAGGAACGTTGTAAATGTTGTAGCGAACAGAGCAAACGAGAAGATGAAAAAGCGGAAAATACTCAAGAGAAAATGGAAATCGAAAATAATGGAAAAGAAGCGATTAAAGTAAACTTTAAAAACTGTTTGATCAAAACCTTGGAATCAACTGTTTGCAAGTATTGAACACTTCAATTCAGTACTTATGTTGATTCTATCAAAACAACAAATCACTGAATGCTTCAATCCAGTGATTTCGACGAATGTCCTAATTATCCTAATCACTGAACACTTAAATCCAGTGAATAGGCGCTTATGTGACGTAAATTTAGCCCTTGAACTAAAGTTACAAAGCTAATAGAATAAAGGATGAAATCAATAACGAATGTGACTTCGCATCAATTGAATTGTCAAAAATTCAATTGTGCCTTTTATTTGAAAATTAATAATCAATTACAACAAATAAATTAACTAAAATAACCTTGACCATGCATGCCTAACAATGAACTTGTTACAAACTGCAAGAGTGCATTTTCTTGCAGATGAAATTTTACGCTTTTGTTTATATGTACAAACAAAACCGTGTGACGTGTTTTGGGCATTGCATTGACGAAGTTATTTTTTACAATAAAATATATTTCTAACAAATTATTTAATACAATATAAACAATTATTACAAGCAAATTAATACAAACAAATAAATTTATACAATTCATGTAATATAACATTTAGCAGTATGTAATATTATGTATCTATCGTTGTATGTATCTATCTATATTTTTTTTGTATATTTTATATTTTTTTTATATATTTTATATTTTTTTTATATATTTTATATTTTTTTATATATTTTATATATCTTTTGATTTTAGATGACTGAAATTAATAAACTCAAGCGCCACGCTTCCTCTGGACGGAAGAGGATCAGATTTTCCTCCTACAACTGTGGGAGTAATATCTAAACGATTTCCGAAAATGTAAGTATATTAAACAATGCATTTTATTGCAATGCAAATAGAAATGAAATTTAAATTAAATAAAACAATGTATAGTTGGTGGCATTTAGTTAATTAATATTTTAATATTAATATTTATTTTCAAATTATTAAATGTTATTATAATATTAATATTTTTTCAGGACTCATATGCTGAATGCAGAGTGGTTGAGAACCCAGTGAAGAAGTCTATTGTCAACAATGTGGGACGTTGACAGGGTTAAGCCCATCCGGATTGACTTCCCCAATTGACAGCGATGAAGCATCTTGCTCTTCCGCAAAACTAAAGAAAAAAATAAATTATATATATATATATATATAGGTATATATGAATATGACAGCCATCTGTTTAATAAAAGATTCGTTGTACTAATAATGTTTTATTCATTAATTAATTAAGTACCAACTGCTCCAAAACATGGGAAACCAAGATTACAAAAGCCGTTTACGGTTTCCTTAATTTCTGCAATAGTTGGAGGGTATGACGATATGTGCTCATTAAATATTTGACAAACTGCATTGCAGAAATCTAATACAATTTCACAAACAGTACTTTTTCTAATACCAAATAAATTACCAACAGTCCTATATTCAGCAGAAGAACCAAGTGCAAACAAATCGATAGTCATTGTTTTTTCTAGAGCAATGCAAGCTTGCATATTAGTGTCCGATTTATCCATCGTTTAAATTTTTTCACAAATTTTTTTAAAAGATTCTCTGCTAAAACGGAAGTTTTCTTTAAATTTTGTATCATCCATTGTTGGCACATCTTGTTCCCAAAAATTATTGCTGCGATCCTAAAAGAAAATTATTCAATCATTTGCTTTCGTCTGACCAATTTTTTATTCTTACAAATTTCCACAATTGTCTTCTGTCAACTCCTGAAGCTATGAACAGTGTTGTTTTTGCTATGAATTTAGTTTTCATAGTAAAAAGTTTATTTATAGCTTTCTGATTTTTTATTACTTTCAATAATTACATTTTTAATTTTGAATTAAAAAAACGGCGTTTTTTGAACTAAATTAAAGCAAGTTTCTTTAATTATTCTTGCTTATCCATTTTGAATTTAAATGGATGCATTCAAGATATTATTTAAATGAACAACTAAAAATATTTCTACGACCATTGATATATATTATTACATACCTTGTTTGATTACAAATTTGATAAAATTAATTTTAAAATATATTAACTTGGGTCTACACTACCGATAGTATTAATCATTATATTAGGGAAATTTAATGTCAAAATAGTTAACGCCGAATTTTTGTTAAACTTGTTGCATCCAAGATATTGTTTAAATAAAAACTAGAATTTTTTCTTCTACGTTAGATATATAAACAACATACCTTGTTTGATTAACAAATTTTATAATATTAATTTAAAAATATATATTACAATTTAAAAATTTTTTGTCAAAGTAGTTAGCGTCGAATTTTTGTTAAACTTGCTGCATTCAAGATATTATTTAAATACAAAACTAGAATTTTTTATACGACGATATATACATGTTTTCGCATGCTCCCACTTTGTAGGGTTAAGTATAAAACAGAAAGTTATTTTGTAAGAGAAAATATAGAGAACAAGTAGAATTTAAATTACGATCTGAGCATGCTTTGAGTAAAAAGCTTTATTTGTAAGCTCAGATCATTTGAATATAAAAGCAAGAGCATCGCTCACTTTGTTGGATTTTGTCGGCTAAGCGTTTTAAAGTAAATATTGTAATATGTAGAACGTTGAAGTTTTCATTTTTAGTTTTAAGTTAGTTTTAAGTTTTCATTCTTTTGTACGGTTTTAAGAGGGTTAGAAACGAATTCTACCCATTAATAAATATATCTTTTTTAAAACATATAACCGAACACGAATGAAATAATTGGCGCCCGAGCAGAACATTGAAGTTTTCATTTTTAGTTTTAAGTTAGTTTTAAGTTTTCATTCTTTTGTACGGTTTTAAGAGGGTTAGAAGCGAATTCTACCCATTAATAAATATATCTTTTTTAAAACACATAACCGAACACGAATGAAATAATTGGCGCCCGAGCAGGGACACTCGTCACAATTGCAGAAAACATAAAAAGTACGCGACGCGAGTGTAAAATATAAAATTCCTGCAATATATAACACCCGATAACAAAGGTGTTTGCAGTGGATTAAAAACTAACAAATATCCCAAAAAAGGGAGAAAAGAAAACCTTGATAAACCTTGATAAAAAGTGTTATTCGGAAAGTGATCAAAGTGCTATTTGAATAAAACATTTGGTGGATTATAAAGTGAATAACAAAGTGGTGAAAAATTAAAAGTAACCCAAAAAATTTTTAAATCACAAAAAGCCAAATTCAATAATAAAGAATCGCGCGGTCACAAGCACTAATTTCAAGACATTAAAATAATTTAATAAGAAAGTGACTTTATATAATCAGCCGCTTCGAATAAATTATTTATCTGCTGCCAACTGGAGCCGAAGAAAAGGATTCCTGGACAGCATAGAACCCAACCATCAACTACCAAGTATCCTCATAAAAGAGGAGAAGAAATTTAAAAAAATATATATAATAATAAAAACAATAAATAATAATAATAATACATAACTCAGGATGGGAGAAATCATAAGCGACGAGGATGCCCGCAGGATTCAACTGTTGATACAGGAATCAACCGATCGGGAGAATCGAAATTTGGACGATGATCACAAAGCCGTCCTGGAGCAATTACGAAAGCGATCAGCAGCCGCTAAGGTAGATCGACATTTGAAAAATCAAATTTTGAACGAAGAACGCGAAGCCATCCTAGAGCAACTACGAAAGCGATCAGCAGCCGCTAAGGTAGATCGACATTTGAAAAATCAAATTTTGAACGAAGATCGCGAAGCCATCCTGGAGCAACTACGGAAGCGGTCAGCAGCCGCTAAGGCAGATCGACATTTGGAAAATGTCTATGGTCCCAGAACTGGCCCGGACGCTCGCTGAAACCAGCCATTGGCTCCGAGTGTCACAAGGTTTTTTTGAAGCCTTCTCAAACCGAAGTTGTCCAAACCAATAAATGGAAAAACTAAAATTAATAATTAAAAAAATAATATAAAAAACATACTGTATAATAAAAACGGAAAGTGTCTACAACAACTGATGTGCATCACAAAGAAATCGAATTCAACAACAAATAGAATAATAACACCACAGATGGGCTACAGGTGAAAACTATAAGGCCTTACAACAACCCAACATCATCACCCTCAACATCACCATTTGCCACATTTCTTAACGAATTGGTGGAGGTATTTTTCTTTTTATATTACCAATAACCAAATTTCCCTATTATTAAAAAAAAAAAAAAACAACAAGTTTTTTTAAAAGTTTTAAGAAATTAACATATCTAAATAAATTTCTTTCCAGTATTAATAATATTAATGTTACAGAAAATATATTTTTTGTTTTTTTTTTTTTTGCAAGAAATTAATAATTTTTAATAATACCCTAGTACATTTAGATTAATAAAATATTATAAAAAATATAATAATCATACAAATAAATTAGAGTTTCAAATTAAATTTTTGAAATTTTCAATATACATTTTAAAATAATTATATGTATAAAGTATTACAAAAAATTTTATTATCGATGTTTAATACCTACAAATACAATATATATATTTCATAATTGATAAACATTTTTCTATAGATATTAAATTTTGTAGCAATTTTCCCTAATAATAAGGAAAAACGGTTTAAAACTATAATAAATTTTTTAAAACTTAACATAAAAATACATAAGTCTAAAGTTTTGAGGAAATATATCTAATAGATTTTAAGCAATGAATAAATTCAATTCATTGAAGTAATATTATTTTTTTAAATTAATCCACTTTTTAGTGATAGAAAATTATAAAAATACAACATTACAAATAATTTATTAATTATAAAAATTGTTAATAAAAGGAAGAATATTGTTTATAGAAGTTATAGATTTATTATTTAGCAATTATAAACTATAATTTAGCTATTATAATTATACCTCATAATAAGTATGAAAATTAAAAGTAATATTACACAAGTAAAGATGAACTTGGGTACTTCAATAATAGTTTACACTTATATTATATAAAAAGAAATAAAACGTAATATAAATATTTTAATTTCCCACTAAAAACATATTCGTGTTGTTATTTAAACATATATATATATTAGATTTTCCTAAAAGGAAAACCTGAACACAATTTAATAATATTAAATAAAAATATGTATTACACTACTAAATATGTTATACACATATTTGATATTAGTTTCATATCACCCTACGTGACTAATTTTTGCATAAATTATGTAAAAATTCCAAAATAAAATTCTAATAGAAGTCAAAATTGAATTAAACTTTGAAAATAAATATTGAATGGCAAATATAATACAAGTATAATAATCTCTTAGTTTAGATTAACCACTATGAAGAAAATTAGAAATTAAAAATAACAATAAACATTTTATAACATTGTTTTGATAATAATAAAATAAAGAAGAAAAATAATATAATAATTAATAATATATTATTATAATATATACAAAATAAATATATTTAAATAAAAGCAGAATTTTAATAACATAACTGAACTAATTATTATTAATAAAAAATTTCAACAAAATTAAAATCAAAAAATAAGTATATATACGATATAAAAGAAATAATATGATGAAAAATAAAGATCTTAAACGAAAACCCATGACAACGACTGACGTTTACCGACTTTCCCCAACGACCCAAAATTAAATAAATTAAATAATATTCCGGGGCAAAACAAGCCTGGAAAGCCAGCCGATGACAATACCGGAAAAAGGTAAAAATAAATAAAAATAAAAGGAAAAATATCGATATAAAAATATATAAAAGAAATATATATATATATATATAAAGGTATCCACCTTGGGATAAAGAATATCCTAAGGCGCCAGCCGAAGAATTTACCGGCAATATAAGAAAATAGTTATATAAATTACATAAAGATACCTCCTTGGGATAAAAAAATCCTAAGACGCCAGCCAAAGAAATTACCGGCAACATATTCAATGAAAATTTTAAAATAAACATTGATAAATATATTACCTTGGAAAAAACCCTAAAGCTGAGCCGAAGCAACTATCGGCAATATATAAATCATGAATCAATTCCAATATTATTTTGCATGTGAAGAATGAGGCTCCTTAGTAGCTTTATTAAAATAAAGAGGAAAAGGGGATACATTTAGTATCAGCCACTTCATTGTATTATAAAAAGAAAGCGGGAATTCGAACAATTGTTGAAACTCCTATATGGAGTAAACAATGTTCATATCTAACTTTCGTGGAGGATTTCATAACAATAATATATTAAACCCTAATGGACAGAATAAAAACAAGTTAGAAAATGTATTATTTTAGCTAGACCCACAGCTACTGAAGACTTTTCTGCTACCGTCAAACTGTCTCTATAATAATTAAAGTATCCAAGAGTAAATGAATAAATTAAAAATTCCAATATTTCTAATAATAAATATTCCCTATTTAAATTACCGAGTTATAAACGAACTTGACGATCAATGACTATGACCAATGACTTCATATAACAAGAAAAAATACAAAAAAACAAAAAGATATGTATATATAAAAAAGATAATAATTAAGTAAAACAATTAATTAAGCAGTAAATACAATACAATGAATAAATCCTTTTAATTTATTTTAAAGGAATTAGTTTATAAGGTTATCATTTTGTTACACATATGATAGCATCTATATTTGACTTCATAAAATATTCGATATATATAAAATAATATTTATAACATACACATAAAATAAAATAGAATATGGGTCATTCTTTTACAAACCGGACGGATTTTGGCAAAAAATGACCTCATCACCTCCGATTTGGCTGAAATTTTTTTTATGAGCTCCTTTCATAAAATAAGAAGACCCGTATCTCGGGAAAGAATTTTGTAATTTTTTTCCTAGGAGATATGGACCCATGGGGTTTTGAGAATTGGCATTGTAGACACATTTTCAAATGGCTATATCTCAAGTTCTATAAAAGGTAGAAACTTGAAATTTATTGCGTTTTAAAGATAATTGGTTGAGCTTTTAAGAAATTGTTTAAACAATTAAGATTGTTTATATTTAAGTACTAATATTAACCGTTAAATTTCAAAAAAAAAGATATCTCAAAAGGGTACACAACATTTTTCATTTTTTATATTTTATTTAGATTCAATTTTAGATTTTACTAAGAAATAAAAATTTTCATGATAGCATCGATTTTTATAAATTTTTTAAATTTTTTTTTTCTCATAAAACACATCAAACACATGCGTGCTATATTTACATTGAATGAATTTTCAAAAAATATACTACAAATATTCTTATATAATATTTTTGATTTCAATTAGTAATAAAATTGTACATAAAACTCAAAAATTTCAGGACGATATTGTCGTTGGAACTACTTTTAAAAAATTTATTTATCCTTCACATCACTCCAAACACATACACACGATTTTTCAGTAAAAAAAAAACAGAGGAATACGTCACACAAATTTTTCATTTTTACTTTTAATTCCGATTAAACAATAAATTCTTCTTCGAAAATAAATATTTCCAGTGTGATATTGCTTCCAGAAGTAATTTAAAAAAATTTATTTATCAGGTGTCCTTCATGTTACTCATACGCACCATAATACCCTTGAATCAATTTTCCAAGAAAAGTGACACAATATTCACATTTTAAATTAGTTCCGCATCATCTCTATTTTTAAATTATGAATTTTAACATAATTAAACCGTTTTATGAACTTTTTCTTATATTGATGAGTTTAAAAATTAATTAGTTCCACACTAGCTGAACTACCTGTATAACTGCAGCACATAATTACACAGTTGAAAAAATTCTTTAAGCAGGTACGAATTGTTATAGGAAATAAACTGTAAACAATTCTATATGGAGATAAACTGTAAAGAACTATAAACAAAATATTTTTTTTAAGTTTTTGTATTGATTTTATTAATAATCATTTCATTATTGATACATAATCTGTAATGTCTGCAGAAGAAAATATTTTTGCCATTAATATCGTTTTCGAATTAGGAATAAAGCAGTGATATTTTAATGTGCCTTTAACTGATGTAGCTGCTTCGAAACGGTGTTTAATCTTATTTTCTTCAGCTTCATAGTCTTTTGATGTTGAGAAATGGCACACAACATTTGGTAAACATTCGTTAGCCCAGTTAAAAAATTCCTTTGGTGTTTGAATTGGATTATGTATTCGTTGAAGACTAGCTCTTGCAGCATTCCTCTTTAAGGTACCAGCTAAGCATCGTTTTCTAACGATGGGTGGCTTTTTGGATTTGGGTCTTCTAAGATTCCTTTTTCTGAAGCAAGTTTTTTAGCTACAGTAATCATATGCTTTGTAGCGTTTGGAAAGTGAGTTGTGAAAAAAACTCACTTTCGAAAAGACCAATTATGTACCACACTCAATATTTTTATTTTCATCGTCCTATCTGCTGAGCCATTGAATTTTTCCTGTAGATTTTTTAAAATTGATGCAAGGTCATCTTCTTCATCGCTATCCTTTATTTTTTCATTTTTATATTCCTGTTGTTTAAGTTTTCTCGATGTAATTGGGGTATTGCTTATTAGAGAGAGTGCTTTATTTAATGGACTAACAACACTTTTTCTGACTTCAGTTTCGTATGTAGCCGAACTGCTATTACTTGATGGTTGAATATTTTCCTCGCTCGATGACTGGCTGCTGTTTTCCGATATAGCTCCTTCATTGTTCTTATTTTTTTTGGCTCTCATCGCCAGTCTCATTCGGCAACTGTTACATATTTTTTTCCCCATATTTTTTTCGGTCCTAGGCATCCGCAACATACGCAGGATACTATCTGAAACTTGCCTTACATTGGCCTTTCTTGGATGTATTTTTAACTTCAGCGGATTGAAACATTTTAAGTTATTGAATTGCCGTAGATGCAATTTATTTTTTTCAACTTTTGCCATTATTTAAATGTTCTTACTTGTTTGTTCGCTTTCAAAACAGAAACTGAAAATTTATCCGACTTACTTAACATTTTATACCAAATTTGATACTGGATCTTTTAAAGATAGGAGTACCTAGACACTCCATTTCAAATTGTTTACAGTTCTTACCTGCTTAAAGAACTGTAGCAGAATAACACTCACCATAGAAGGTGGGTGTACTTATGTGCTTCAGTTATTCAGGTAGTTCAGCTAGTGTGGAACTAATTAATTTTTAAACTGATCAATATAAGAAAAAGTTCATAAAACGGTTTAAT